TATGTAACCCTAGTTCCTCGAGGGAACGAGAAGCTGCATCCCAGTGCCATACTTCCGGCGTACCTGCCAGCACTTGCTTCATTCCTAGAAGCTGACGCTGGACTCAAGCTTTTATAGCTTCCTGGTCATTACGTCACCCGCCCGTGACGTCTCACCCATCTATTGGTCTGATTACACACGAGGTTCAGAGCCCATCACGCTGAAGGGCATTCCCCTAGCGTTTCCGACGCAGCGTCTCGTTCCCTCGAGGAACTAGGGTTACATATGTAACCCGAGACGATTTGCATGAGCAAACACCACTCACATTTGACTTGGCATGGTTTGGTGGGTGGTTCTTTTTTAAATTTAAGTCTCTTAGCAACAACAAAAAAAGATCCCTTACATTCATTGTGTGGGTGAGAATGTGAGTGACAACAGCTGATCTGACTGTGGAAATCAAGCATCTGGGTGAAATCTCAAAATGAATGAGTCATAACTATATGCACGTCTGAATGTATTTCCTTTCTTGCTATATGAACACCAAACACTTTAGTGCAAAACATCCATAAACATGTTTCTATATTAACCAAGAGAAAATGCATTATGACTATGTTACAAAACATGCTCAGATTTGCCATGACACAAAAATCTGCAATCGAAAGTCTTAGATCTGAATATGAATATTATCATGCCATGTCATATGAGCACAGTTACACTCCCTACTGACTCACTTTACTGTTATCCTAGAGAGATAATCATAATCAAAACCAGCACAGCTCTGGGTCTTTGCATATATTGGGTAAATACATTTTAATTGACACTGAAATAAATAGCTAGAAGAAAATATTTGAGGGAATATTTGAGGAAATGAGTCAGTGCTTTTGATTCATTTTGATTAATTTGACATAGTACAGTTAGATGTGGTAGAGGTCACAAGAGTGTAAATAAATTCTGCTCCAATAGGGATAATTAATCTATGACACACATTCTCATGTTTTTCTGGATGGGAATGGTTTAATGTCAAACAGCTCAAGTTAGGTCAAAGTCTGTGTGAGATCCCAGCATTTCTAGTTGTCATGTGTAATGAGGCCTAACAAAGAATGCTGTGTCTGATTTCACTCATTATGCACACTTTTTATAGTCCCGGGTTTGGAACATGGAAGTAAACATTAGCAGGGTAAACTTGTACTTGTACTTGGTAGATGGAAGATAACAGCAAATATTATTTTAGCATATACAGTTTGCTCCAACAGCAGCTGTATTATTTTAATACTAGGGTAAAATAACACAAAGTGTTATAAAAACAAGAAAACACTACACATCAACTACCAGTTAGTGTTAGTAGACTGTCTACTTAATATCTGCTGACACTTTATTTTGATAATAATAATCTGAATATAATAATCTGATTATAAGTAATTTTGCCCTCATTAAGTAATAAGTAATTTTAAACTCATTCTACTAACCCTAACCCTAATGTAACAGTCTACTATTACTCTAATGAGAGTTATTTGACATGTAGTTGCAAAACATTACTTATCGTTAATAGAATGTCTAAAGTGTGCTATCGAAATAAAGTGTAACCAATATGACAAACTTTGAAGGTTTCAAAGGGTTGATCCGCATAGAATGCGTTTTTGTGTTTAACAATGCAAGATGCAGGGAAGGAATGCAATGGGAAATGTGGAATGGGGAAAAAACGCAAAAGTTGCAAAAGATGTGAGACACAAGCACAATGGTCTTGCACGTTTACATAGAAAACAATACAAACGCAATGCAGTGGAATTGGAGTTGCAAGTAGAACGCAACTGAAAAACAAGGAATGCATTGAATACTATGAGAGACGCAAGCAGTAGAATGAAAAAGAACGGTCTCAAGACTCTTTTTTAAAAACTTATTGTAACTTCAGCGTCACATTTTCAGAATGCTGTGCCATGCAAAAGGGTCAAGATGCGAGCACAATGGTCAAACACAACTGTGCATTTTTACATAGAAAAACAATGGAAGTGCAGCGCAGTGGAATGCAACTACGCATTTTGTGTGAACGATCCTACTTAATTCTGATTGGTTTTCACTGTCGTCCGTGGTAACGCTGTGTATCCGGCCGATCACCACAACTGTAACCAATGTCTCTCATTCCACAGTGCAGACTTGTGCTTTCTCTGTTGTCTTCTGGCAGGATTCAAAGCCTGGTTGTAAGAACAATCCAACTATAAGAGTGAACAATCCAGCCATGTATGTAAACCGAAATGCAATAAGAAACTTTTTAACTGATCCATGCTCTCCTGGAGTTGTGGTTTGACTGTTTATTCAGCTCAGTTTGCCAGTTATTGAGAACTGTGTGACTAGTTGATGTCATGTTCAATCACTTTAGTGATGTTTTGTCCTTCAGGAATGTACAGTGTCATAAATTCATGTGCCTTGTATTAAGAGATACCAGTGTGATGAAGTTGTTTGTTCATTAATGCAGCCCAGACAAAGAAATCTTTTCCCATCCATCAGATTAGTCAGCAAAATTCTGGACATTTTGTTGTTGTCCCTCCCTAAGTTAACTTTGTTTTGTTCATTAATGCATTCCTCATATATTGAGGCCAGTTCCTCTCTTTAGCTCAATAAATTTCCATTTTAATATGTCAAGAATTTGGATATTTCGATCAGTTGTGTCTGACTATGTGAAAAGGATAGCTTTATGTTTTACTAAGAAGGAGTAGACATCAAGGAATGCACTGGTGCAAAGCTGTTGAGGTGTGGGAGGGTGGTTGCAGCTGGGATCGACAGCTGTAAGAGATCCTTTGTCCCATAATCATATTCCAATTGTCAATAGAGAGGAACTCCCAGAGATAGCATTCAACAAATCAAAAATCTTCAACAATCTAATATAAGACTTGGCTATGCTTATGAATTCGATGTTGAATTTCAATTTATTTCTCATAACCCATGGGGTTTTCAAGCTTTTTGTGATAACACACTATCGTTCAAATGTTTCTTGAGAGGCAAATCAGCATATTAGAATGATTTCTGAAGGATCATGGGACAATGAATACTGATGAGTAATGATGGCTGAAAATTCAGCTTTTCCATCACAGGAATAAATTACATTTTAAAGTACATTGAAATAGACAACAGCTATTTTAAATTGTGATAATATTTCATAATATTACAGTTTTTTTTTCTTCAAATAAATGCAGCCTTGGTGTGCATGAGACTTCAGAAACATTATAGACTTAAGAATAGACATTAAACATTAAAATCTTACCGACCTCAAAGCTGAACAGTTGTGTAGAAATACTCATTGTTTCTGAAAACTGACTAACTAATGAACTACTGAAAATATGTCATTATTATCTGGAAAAGCTTTACTTATTTGCATAATACAGCATAAGACAGTGTGTCTTTTTTCCACTATTAGAGTAATGACAGAGAAGCAGAGAAGAAACATTTTCAGTTCAGTTCTGATGTATTTGTAAAGCGCATTTATCAATTAAAATAATTACTCTAACGTCTCACGTTTTACATTCCAGCTATGAACTCTTACCCTTTGGGAGAAGGTACAGGATCCGACGCTGCAAATTGAACAGATTCAAAAATGTGTTTGTGCCGATATCTATCAGGTTGCTGAATCTGGAGCAGTGAGTGAAGCAGTTTTAGTTTTTATCTGATATCTGTGATGGTGTATATGGATGTGAATGTCTATTGTGTATGCACAGTATTTTTTAATATTCTTAGGTGTACCAGGTGATGCTGGAATGTTGGTTTTGAGTCTACACCAAATTTCCCCTACCAGGGACAATAAAGTATATTTCATCTTAAGTAAACATGTTCATTTTAACAGCTCAAAAAATACATTTTGTAAAATGTTTTGTGTCGCCTTAAAATAGTTTTTACCATTTGGTGCAGCTCTAATTTTTTTACTTAATTAGTCATCATGGTGCAGATAACGGTGGTTTGGGGAGTTATATCCCTAAAAGGAAATCTAAACAAAAAGTTGTGGATCCTGAAAAGTACACTCACAAACTAATTAATTTTAAAGTAATACATAATATCATGGTTCCCTTGTGGTTCCTGGATACCAACCACTAAACCCTGACGGCATTAGTCATTCATGTCAATGTTGAAAAAAGTTGTGCTGCTTAATATTTTTGTGGAAACCGTGATACATTGTTTTCTGGATTCTTTAATGAATAAAAAGTTCAAAGAAACATTATGAATGCTTTACTGTCACTTTTGCCCAATTTAAACTGTCCTTGCTGAATACGTTTTTTTCTTTAATCTTACAGAATCCAAACCTTTGAATTGTAGCATACATCGAATTATGTGCAAAATAGGAATGGCAATTCATCTTTACATTAAAGTAGAACAGTTTTAGTCACTGCATCTCAAACACTTTTTATTTTGTGAATTTCAGCCAGAGCCCTGACTTAAACCCAATTGAGCCTCTCTGGAGAGACCTAAAAATGGCTGTCCAACCAAGTTTACCATCCAACCTGACCGAACTGGAGAGGATCTGCAAGGAGGCATGGCAGAGGATCCCCAAATCCAGGTGTGAAAAACTTGTTGCCTCTTTCCCAAAAAGACTCATGGCTGTATTAGATCAAAAGGGTGCTTCTACTAAATACTGAGCAAAGGGTCTGAATACTTAGGACCATGTGATATTTCAGTTTTTCTTTTTTAATAAATCTGCAAAAATGTCAACAATGCTGTGTTTTTCTGTCAATATGGGGTGCTGTGTGTACATTAATGAGGAAAAAAATGAACTTAAATGATTTTAGCAAATGGCTGCAATATAACAAAGAGTGAAAAATTTAAGGGGGTCTGAATACTTTCCGTACCCACTGTATATATATATATATTTTTTTTTTAATAATTCATAATTAAACTGGTAAATTAACTTCTATTTCCAGGACCAAGAGGACAACCAGGACCTGCTGGGCTGCCAGGTCCCCCTGGACCTCCTGGACCTTTAGGAAAGATAGGGTTTTCTGGAAAACCTGGTCCTGTAGGAACTAGAGGTAAGAACTATCTCTTTACCTTGACTGGGAATTTTAAAACAAATATTTTCATACATTGAGCTCCCCTGCTTACTCTACAGGACCTCAAGGGTTGCAAGGACCACAAGGTGAAAGAGGCCTTCCTGGGCCACCTGGGCCCACAGGGCACTTCTCCATCAGGGGAGATGTTTTCACTCTAACGGCTAAACAACATGCCCAGTGTTAGTACAACAGTCCACATTAAACATGCTGTTTTATCATTTTAATTAATAATAGCGTTAAAGTAATGCATAACAGAGTGGAAGTAAAAAAAAAAAAAGTAAATGCTTCAGTTAATGTTTATATCCAGTCTTTGCACAAACTGCAGCAACTTTTCACATGTTATTCTCAACATGACCATAAGATGGCAGCATTGGCACAGTATCAACTTAAAAAAAACTCTCAGAGATCTGGAGTCTGGTTGGCTTCTGTCTGTCAGCAATTAATCAGTCATTTGTTAGCTGTCTGTGAAGCAGCATGAATCTGGATAAACCAAAGCAGAACCTGAGCACCAAATCCTGCTGAACAGAACAGCAGTACAGCTGCTCAAATCACATTTGCTGCAAGTGGAGTTACATTTTTAATAGTACTTCTGATTTGTTTTCACCTCAGTATGATCATATCTTACATGTCTCAGATGAAGATAGTGACTTTGCTGCCTATCGTGACCTGCAGGCTTTTCTTGGTCCTCCTGGACCCTTTGGCCCTCCTGGTCCACCAGGTACAGTAGAATATCAGAGCATACATAACAGCATCATCTCGTACCGCCCAGTCATTTCTTTACACATTTAATCTTCTATCTGTACATTTTGAACAGGGCCTGCTGGACCACCTGGACACCCAGGTGTTCCAGGGAAAATTGTAAGACATTTTATATCATTATGCTCTGTGATATGCATTTACAGTATATATGTATGGAATAAATAATTGGACAGTACATATAGATGTACAAGGCACAGTATACTGATTAATTCACATTTATCATAGGCTGCCTTAAGCTTTGCAGGCACACCAGGTGACAGGGGACCCAAAGGAGATCCAGGAGAAAGAGTAAGTCATCGAAGGCCAACATTTAGATATAAATTAAATCTTAATCTTATACATTTTGTTTTTTGGATAAAAATATGTTTGTTTTTATTTGAGCTGATTAAATTGCATTGCTCTATTTTCAAAGGGTCCACCTGGAATAACAGGAAAGCAAGGACAGCCTGTGAGTGCACATAGTGGATTGCATTTATATTTTCACAGTTCATTCATTCATTTGTTTGTTTGTTTTAATTGCCAATTACAATTTTTTTTTAAATAGCATTTTATTAATTAATTTTTATATTTATATATAAATGTATTATTATAAAATTCACTTTTTTCTTATTTTCTTTTGTTGTGAATAGGGTGTTCCGGGTCCTAAAGGAGAACCGGGAGAGACTCCAGGAGATGTAAGGCTGATGCACAAAAAATTGGGATGGTTTTTTGAGTTTTGGATGTGCTGTTATGATGATTTATTGTCACTTGCTAAAGCCCCGCCTTCTTGCAGGTGCAGCAGTTGAGGGAAGCTCTGAAGATTCTGGCCGAGAGGGTTCTCATTCTAGAGCACATGCTCGGCATTCATGGTGAGAATTATGGATTAATATTAATCTAGATTTCCAGTTATGAGTTCTAACTAGAGAGCGGTTGGATTCCAGAGCGCCATTATGATCTCATGGCATAAACTGTTGCTGCCAGAGAGGTTAGCGTGTGTAGCAATTATTTAGTTATTGAGGTTCCATGAGGTTTGAGGTTCATATTGCTTTTAAGAATACAAAATGACATCAGAGGACTAGAAATATACAGCCAACTCCTTGTATTTAGACACACACATGGTCATGCAACAAATTTCTCTTTATTTTTGTTTCTTTCCATTTGTCGCTCTGCCCAGATACTCTGTTGGACTCCGGTTCTGGAATAGATCTCCTGGCGGACTTCATGCTAACAGGCAGTGCTAAAAATGTTGCAGCTGCCAGACCCTCCTCTCCTCTTACCTCAGACAGAGAGTAGCCGGACTCTGTTGGGTATGAAGAGTAAATAACAAACACTTGTGTCCACAAGGCCTTTATCTCGTGTCTGTTGCTTTGAAGGACAGATCCCTATTTGTTTATGAGCATGATAAGAGTGGCACTGATCTTTTCTATTTTATTTACTTGAGTGTTTTGTTTAATTGTAATATTCTTCTTGTTTTACATTTTGATATCACTATATTTACCTGTCGAAAATGTGTTTTCTTTGCCATTCATGACCCGTTTTACTTGCATTTACTTAAGGGCAGGCCTTTATTTTAGTCATTAGGAAATGATTGGATGGTGAAATGTGGGAACTACTTCCCAGAATGGAGTCGGACCGAATGTGAGTTTGCTAAAATGATGGCTAGTTAGCTATTGGTTAGAAGTATTCAATAGCCTGTGTGGCATAAGTGATGTCAGCAGAAACAAAAAGTTGTTTCGGAGTAAGAGCAAGTTATGAAAATCTGATTTTCATGTCAACTTGAAGTGTCTATGTACTGTAGTTCATTTCTTTTATTATAGTAAAAGTGAGGATGTTGGACGGGCAGGTTATCTGGCTTAATTAATCAACAAAGATGATACTTGATTATACAAAAAAAATGTTCATGACACTATTCACTTCTAATTCTAAAACTAATGTTTTAATACCACAGTAATTCAAGCTGAAAATAAATGTTTTGTCACAGACTTTACAGAAAACAAAAAAGGCCTAGTTCTTGTCATTTCCTTTTTGTTTTCTGATTGATGACCTATAATGACCTTCATGCACATAATTATATATAGCAGTGGCTTTGAATTAAAACATTCCTATCTCAATACTCACAGCAAACAAAAAATAGACTAGAACAGAACCTTAAAACCAAATTCGGCCTTTTGTGTGCATAGAAAGTGCAACGTCTAGCACAATAAATTGTGTTTACACCTCTGCTCACCTGTTCTTATTCATAGAGCCTATCATTGACTCGCTGAAAACCCAAAATGGCAGAACACACCAAGGGCTGCTATTAATAGGGCTGCAGTGAATAGCTGGAGAGACAAAAGGCCCTGTTGACCTTGTTCGCAGAGCACCGTTCAACACGCCAGTGTGGCTTTAAGCTTATTGTTGCGCTTGAGCTTTTGTAATCCCCTCGGGAGGGAACGAAATCTTTCCGAATCTTGGGCTTTTTCTTCTTGTTGTGTTAAGAAAGAAGAAGTGTTTAAAGGTTTCCCACGGTAATGTTTTTACGGTATTGAGATCGAAATATTTTGCTTTGACTTTTTGAAATTAAATTTTATGGGAAAAATCATTTATTTATATATTTGAAAAGTCTTCTTTGTTGCCAGTTTCTGAGCATGTTAAAACACTTTATTGCAATAACAACTGTAACTAGACTAGATGTGTTTTTTTATCTCTTTATTGACAAAAGGCGGGTACAGAGCTTAAGGAGAAGACAACATACAAATGGACATGAACAAACATGGAGAAACATGGGAAATGTAGTTTTTACTCCTGTTCCTTATCCTCTCCGTGGGTGATGACGTAGCACAGGTTTTTGTAATCCAGGTTGCCAGCCACATCCAAGGGGAAGTTTGTGAACATCTGGTTTACCTAGGTAAATGTAAAAAAAATATGATTAAAATTCACCAATTTCATGATTTTAAATTATTTATTTAAAAATTAAATAATACATTTAAATTTTGAACTGTGCCTTTGCATTTCAAAAGAGAGAAAAGTATATTACCTCAGCTTCGGTAAATTTGTCTGCCTGGGACATAAGGTGATATTTGATCCTGTGAGGTGAAACAAAAGAAATATATTAAATTCTGTGCATTTGAGACTGTTTTAAGTCAAAAGTCGCTGATGTGCTGAAACATTTTTACATTTGCATAAATCTACTTACTCTTCTCCTTTAAGGATTCCTGTGCCCTCTGGGTCGAAGATCTTAAAGGCATTGAGAATAGTCTCCTCAGGGTCTGTACCTGTCAGTCACAGAAAGGTAACATATAATTTGATTATTCTGTAATATGTAATAAGTCGAATACACTCTTATACATGTCAAAACCTTAATTAACAATGACATAAGTCATTTCTGGGGGAAGTTGCATTCAAAATCCAAGCTTCTGACGCTAAACTAAGTGATCCATCAGTATGCAGTGTGTCTGATATCTGCTGGGTTCTGCAGCTATTTGCACCTCATTAGCATGATTATCATTTCAATTCTGATCAATTTGATCCTTGCCTTTGAGCTTCTCTCCAAACATGGTGAGGAAGACAGTGAAGTTAACAGGGCCGGAGGCTTCCTTTAGCATCTCATCAAGCTCATCGTTGCCAACATTGAGACGTCCTGCCCAACATGCACATACAGAGATATACATTAATACAGAATGCCACTTCCTCTGATACTTCAAATGGAGTGAGAGTTAACTTTAATGTTCAGTGCAATAAAATAGTTATGAGAGCAGTTTACAAGGCCAGGGGGGGAAATACTTTGGTATATTTTGTGTTACTTTTGAAGCAAAAATTACATTCAAGTCTGAAGCCACACTGAAAATATGGGTTTTTAAGATTTAATTTAAACCTGAAAATGAAAGGGAATTTTTAGGATTTTGAAAAAAATAAATAAGAAGAAGAATAAATAAATAAATAATTCCCCCCCCCTAAAATTTCTAAATTAATTTATTATTATTTTTCTAAATCAAAATGCAAAATAAAAGCTTTTTTTTTTCTTCTAGTGGTCTCAGATGTTTGGACCCTGCTATATATGCATTTATCATTAGTTTGATGGAATGATGACTTTTGCATCTAAATCTGTGACAAGCATAGTGCTGTAATCTCATTTAGGCTTCACAGCATTCAGTATGAGTCTAAAGAGGAGCCACTGTAATCCTTAAAACAATACTCTTGTTAGTTCAATAGGATAAACACCTTTAAGTATCAGAGACCTTTAGTGTCACCAGTATTTACACTGTATACAGTCATTCAGTTAGGGCTGACTCACCCAAAGCAGCAAATGTGTCCCTCAGGTCGTTTTTGTCAATAAAGCCATCTCTGTTCTGGTCCATGATGGTGAAAGCCTGGAAGAGCATTCAAATTTACAGAGGTAAGTACCACAAATATGCTAGAATAAAATGTTTAGGTAAATGAATCCTAACCAACCTCTTTGAACTCCTGGATCTGTGACTGCTCAAACATGCTAAATACATTGGAGCTGGCAGCTTCCTTCTTCTTGGCCTTCTTTGGTGCCTGGATATCAAGCAAAATTGGTTCAGATGATTTTGTCCAGGCTTACACTTTTGAAATGCAATTTTGAAGCACATAAAAATATAACATTTATGCAAAAATGGCATGACCCTCAAAGACATTTTTTGTAATTTAGCCACTTTTTGACATTGAGAACTGTCAAAAAGTGGCCCACTTCAAGTAAATGTAGTTGCATTTAGTCAGAAATGCTACAACTTAAACACAAACCGGAACAGACAATGATATTCACTCACTGAAAACCTTTCTAAAATTATGAAAAAAACGTTGCGCTCATGACAAAGACCAAGATACATGGAAGTGAAACAAATAAAAATGCTCTAATTTTAAAGAGACAATTAGAAAGGCATGCAAATATATAAAACCATCTATGGAATATGCACTTTCTAGCATAAAATAAAACATTCTCTCGGTCTGAAGGACAACGCCGTTCAGTTTCACCAGCATTTCCATGTTAAAGAGTCCAAAAGCAAAGAGATGCAGGCCTACCATTGTGAAGAGCTTCTCTTTACTCTCTTCTTGGTCTCAAAAGCCTGAGGGACACTCAGGCATCATTGGTTTCCAGCTATATATTGGCACAATTGGCTTGACGGCCCACCTGTTCTATGTTTAGACAAAGGAGGAGGAACAATACAAGAATACTTGCCATATAGAGAATCACGTACCCTGCCCTAGCTCCCCTCAGTTATTGTTATGGACAGATGCTAGTTGATGTGATCAGAGTGTGGGCTTTGCTATCTTGGGATCATTTGGAGCGTCCTAACCCCTTAAGACTCATCTACATCTAATGTGTCGTTTAAAGACAGTGTGAAGCCAACTAGCTTCTCACATCAGTGCATTCGGTCAGATGATGACGCTATGTCTCCGCTACATGGATTACTTTGATGATTTGATGCTCTTGTTATATTGGTGATCAGTAGAGACACTTTTGACCAGCTTACAAGAATGATTTTCACAGTCAGGAGGCTTAGAGAGCAGACAGTGCTCAGGACCAGTCTAACAAGGGTTCATCCAGTGTATAAACTTTATCTAATGAGTGCTTTTGAGGAGAATCAAACATTCTGGGAAAATGAATCTGAGAAAATAGATGTCCCTATATGAAAAGTTAGTTTAGCAAAGATTTAGAAAGTATGCTGAAATGGATGTAACAGTAGATAACAGAAATATAATATATGACATAATTGCCCTGTATCAAGAGTGATATTGCCATATATGCTACCTATAAGGTGATATATCATTTTCACATACGTACATTCTCTGGGTAGACGAACATAGTTAACATATATAAAATCACCATAGTAAAAATAGTTTGTATTAGTAATATCTATATGATTATTTTTATATGGTATTATATGTACCAACCATAAATATCAACAATATAAGTTTTATTTATATATGCAACTTTATTAAAACGACATATTTACAAAAAACTGTACGTTTATATACGTTTTTGTAATATATATAATATACATAAACACATATTTGTATGGATTATAGATTTAGATATAAACATATAGATTTATATATTAACATATGAAATTGTTCCCATTTCTAATAGGTTTCATGTATGCTTCTACATCATATGAAAATATATTTCATGTAATTTAATTTGGTGTAGGATTTTACACACTGAATTAAACATGACATTTTGAAGTAGACTAAACTACTTTTTTCTTGATTTTCTTGTGAAACACACTTCAATAATCTTTATTTAAACAAAAAAAAAATCATTATTTTACAGTGTATTTATTCCACTCACTACACAATATATATATTTTAAACTATTGATTGTATTGCATTTTGTATAGTCTGTGTGAGACTGGGGCTAATTGTCAGACTCGGGTGAATGTTTCTCAGTTTTATAAAAAAAAATTTTTTTTTTTTAAATGTTTCTATATATGTATAAATATTTTAATTGATTAACCATTAATGCCCAGGAATAAAGATACAGTCCATTAAACACATGCTGACCTTTTGTGACAACATGCCCCAGTGGTGGAGTACTAAATTGTCACACTATATAGTAAGCTGTCACAGTGGGAAACTGCCATTAAATGGCTAATTGATTATTGCATTATTCCAATTACATATTTTCATATAATTTATAATAAATAAAAAATAAATAGATTTATAAAATAAAAATAGATTTAGATATAGGCAACACCCAAACATTTCTTGTGGATTTTTCTCTCAAACCCTTTATTTATGAAGAACTTTTGTGTATTCTGATTGTGATTGATCTGTATGCATATGGCAAAATGAATGCACAATATTGGAACACACACATGTGGAACTCATCCATTTTAATCCAGCTTTAATTTGGCATGTAACTCTTATGAACAAATTGTTTCTACTTTGTCTTCCATTATCTGTTGCGAACAATTGGACTGAACAAAAGCCATTTTCAGCACTACAAATATAGCCAGTCATCCCATGCTTGCCAGATTTAAATGTGCTCAAACAGCCAAGTAATGTGCCGTCAGACTGCCGTAAATAATCTGTCCAGCTATCCGGCACGGCAGCAGGTTGTGTAAAGCTGGTTTTAGCAGTGTCCTCACAGACAACTGAACGAACACTGGCCAAAAGAGCTGTGGAGAAGAGCTGCACCATGGGATGTTAGGAATGTCGCTGTGATATCCTGCTTGACATTGTACGTGCGTGTGTGTGTGTGTGTGTGTGTGTGTGTGTGTGGTCACGACAGGGAGCGTGCCCATGTTAGGTGTGTGACTGGCAGGTGGGGGGCAAGAAAGTGTCAAGGTCTGCTTATGTGTGCTGGCAATAACACAACTGATCGGGAACCTGTCGGGGAAGTGTCAGCTTCCTACAGCTGCTTCTTACTGTCAATCACATTAGCCATATGTTTCCATCACACCTTGACAGGCCTGTAAATACATGCTGCTTTATATATGACAACACAGAGATGATGATACACTGCCTTCAATCTCTGAGGCCACATTTTGATCTCTCTGGTTAAATGTCTATGCACATGTGTGAATTTCCAAAAGGTTTGTGTGTGTGTGTGTGTGTGTGTGTGTGTGTGTCAGGCCTGTTCTTTTACTAAAAATGTTTAACAAAAACAAATACAAAGCATGAAGTACTCAAGACTTTAAAAAAAAAAGGCATTACAATAAATGTAGTGTTCATTTGCATGTATGTGTTTGACTGTGTTTTAGAGTTATTGTAGTATCATTAATTTACTATCATAGTTTTTGTTAATATTTTGAATTTTTATTTAGATTTTTAAAAATATATAAATTTTGTTTTTATATTTTCTGATTTAATTTTAATTTTATTTAAACTTTGTTGTATGTAATAACACAGTAAAAACCCGGGTGCATTTTATATATTACGTTGTCAACAGCAATTTAAACGTCCTTCAAGTCATGTTGACCATCCAGTGTGAATCTTTGAGAGAGTGTGTGTGTTTTTGCATTTGTCAAAATGGCTAATAAAAGTTGATTCAGTACATTAATTTAGATAATATATGTTTCATGATAATATATATAAAACTTAATGTAATATAACTGTATGATATAATAAGTAATAAGCATGTAAGAACCCTCATGATAGGTTTCTTTTTCTGCTACTGAAAAAGGAAGTACCCAAAGGACGTGCATCTTAGAAACCTTAAACCAGTTTGTAAATGTCATATATATATATATATATATATAATAATTAATTTTAATATAATTATAATTAATTATATATAATTGTATATTTTTTTATGCATCAAATACAGGGACTATTTAATAAACCAGAACTAAATTCAGTGAGGTAAAAAATTATGTTGGTTATTTTTATTTCTTTTTTTGCCGCTAATTTTCATATAATATTAAGTAATAATATAATATGAAATCAAAATATATACATATGTGTACAATTTTAAATTTTGTTTAAAATATGACAGCAGTATTCAGTTGTAGTTTGTTTGCCTGCAGATGGAGCAGTTTACCCAGTTGCAAGGACTCTGTAAGTTTCTATATTCCTCCACTACATAAAATATTACCTGCACTAACTATAGTTAGATCTTCATGGATTTTTACACATACATATTACACAATACGCAAGCAATTTACATTTCAAATGTTGCATATGAGTATTTATGGTAAAGATTGATTTTTTATGACTAAATATCAGACACCTTTCCATTGATCCACTGATCACGTGTACATATGGAAACAGTCAGATGCAGACACATCCCCAGAACAATGCCCTCCTCACATCTCTGCTTGTCTCTTCATTATGTTCATTTGCCATGTCTTTGCATCTCCATAATTAAAATCTAATCCTGCATGCCGACTTTTTAAACGAGGACTAGCCTCAAGAGGAGGCTTATTTGATTAAAAAAGGGGAAGGGTAGAGGAGGGAGTCCTCCACAGCTCGGCAGGCAGCAGAGATAGCTCTTAATTGTGCTCCCATGAGGTGTGTGCACGCCTGGGTGGAGAGAGGAGGGGCTGGGTGCTCAGAGGCTCCAGTGGGCCTGAAAAAACAAACCGCCAGTGGGACCGGCTCTCCTGCGCAGCTCCCCTGCTGTCTCAGTGAGGGGAACCGAGGGGAGGAGCACTTATGAGGAGCCATGGGACTCTCCAAGCTTCCAATTCTCACTCCACCCTGCGGGGTCTGAACAGAAGCCCCCCATCCTCTCTCTTTAAGTGTCTGTGTGCGGTGGTGAGGGTGAGAATCAGGGCTGCTCCACCAATGAACGTAACTAATGGAACTGAAGGTGACTCTGAAATCCGGCTGTGTAAAATAATGTTAAAAATGCTCATTGTTGACGTTCTTCCTTAACTCCTGGATTATTTATTGTGTTACATGCACACTCTTTTTCTTTTGTATGATAGCACTAAAATGTTTTCTAGATAGTTTTTCCCCCCCTAATATACTATTATATATTGTTTTCTATTATTGTAATACTTTTGTATTGTTTTGAAATTGCACAGCACTTTGGTAAACTAAAAGTTCTTATTTAAATGCTGTTCTACTGCTTGCACACTTGCTTAGATGCTACCAGTTTTTTTATTTGTTGTGAACTCGTACTCTGCACAATGACAATAAAGGTGAATTACAATCAAAGTTGTCAAAGTGACAACCTGTATTGAAATTGAGTTGAACGATCATGAAAATAAGTAGAAATGACCAAAATTATTATTGTGACAATGGATGGAAAAATGGATAGTTGCCACCATTTTTGACAGTGTATTAAGTGTATTACCTTTCAACAGTAAAATAGCAATATTCACCACAGAATATGAACTGTGCGCACACACACACACACGCATATAAGAAAAAGACACTGAAAGAATGTAATATCACACACATTATAATGTAATAATACTCATATTTTTTAATTGTAAAGCAATTCTAATTATTAAAAAAATTAAAAGAATAATCACAGGCTAAATAGTGATTGGATTTTACCACTACTTATAAAATAATAATAATTTTGCTCAATAAATTATGTATTTAGGTAATCAGTGTAATCACTGTCCAGCAATTAACATTGTTGGCTAAGCAGTGATTGGTTATCATCACTAATTGTGACAATTAATACAACGACATCGGATCACCATGTACCATGAACAATGAGGTGAGACGATATTACAGACGACCAATAGAGGGCGCTGCTCTCCAAGTTCAAGTTCAAAAGCAGTATTTACAAATCATCAGGAATCGACCGGACAAGGGTTTATGTTATAACATCAAATCATCTAATGCCACCATCTTAAACACCGCCCATAATCATTTAAATGCATATTGCTTCATGCAGTATTTATAGGCTATGGAGAAGAATTAGATTGTGTTTCGTTTTATTTAAGCTATCGATCGACGTATCCACATTCTTCACGCAAGAATGCCCATAAAATCAATATAATAGATGTATTGGTTTTTGAGTATAAAGAGAGGGTAACTGGACATATAGACAACCAACAGAAAAACCAATATAAGACAATAGCGTACACACAAGAACATACGATATATTTTCAATAGGATTAAAGATCAATATATCAGGTACGAATACAACAACAGGCCAGAAGGTTCTTCATCTGACCATGAGAAACATAAAAACACTCAAGCTGCGCGTTGCGTTTGCGCGTCGCGCGTCGCGTCAGATCTGATTAGCGTCTCGTAATAGCTATCTATGGTGATAATAAAAAATCAATAACCGTGTAAACTCTCTTCTTTTAACGGATGAAAACGTATCCAGCATCCCCCTCCCTCTCCTGCGACACGGGGAGCTCGACTGAACGCGGAAACTCCATCCCGCGTTTTCTGCCTTTTATTTAGGACGGTCTCAATAATTGTTTTCAGTAGCCCTATTCAATATCGCAGGTTGGCGTTCGATAACTCCATTCCGCGCGCGCCCGCGCCGTTCGATCTGCTCCGCTCCGTGTTTTGCGCGCGCTCCCCCGCCTCTCTCTCTCTCTCTCTCTCTCGCGCTGAACTCCAGCCCCTCTCGCGCTCTCTCTATCAGCCTTTCATTCCGTCTCAATATGTCTCAAGATGGCGGCCAATGCGGGATCGATGTTTCAATATTGGAAACGCTTTGATTTGCAGCAGCTCCAGGTCAGCTCCCTTTCGCTTTGTACTCGCTGTGTGTGCCGGTAAGCCGGTCCCGGGGAGCGTCGCGCTGAGAGTGTGGGCGCGTTGCTCTCGCGTCGGCTCTTTCGCCGGGTTCGGTGCCCATTGATTAAAGCGGCTCTCTCGCGCTGATCGGAAATTGATCCTCTTTGTTCAATTCCCATCGATCAACCATCACGGTCAAGGTGGATGCGGCCACTTTGGCAACGGGAGGCCGAAGGTTTCCCTATTCTTTCCGGCTCCTTTCCATTCCCGGGATGTTTTGGGAATAGTTTGTGCTGAAGAGATTTAGACAGTATGTTTGTGGAAATAATTTTGTGTTTAGAAGTGTGTCGCGCTACACGGGTGGCGCTGTGCTGGACCGAGACGTTATTGCTTAGTAACGAGAGAGGTGTTAGACTGCCTTCCTTTTTAGATTTCGCCTCATTTATGGTTTACCAGCACTTTTTGTGTGACTTTAGAAGTTTATGAAGTTAGCAAACGCTAAGTTCAGCTTAGTAGGTAAGTTTAACGTGTAGACGGAATTGGCTGCTAAACCTGCGCTAGACAGGAACAATTAAACACAAAACAAACAAACACGAACAGATGAACGTTTTTGTTAAATATAGATGTGTTGCTGGTTTACTAAGTTATTCAGTTACAGAGCCCGAACAGATAGCTCGTCAAAACTATTTTAATGCAATTTCACTATTTCCCCCCCTCACATATAACTTGTTCAAGTCGTTCTACAGAACTATGGAGCGTTTAAACGCAGGTGGGAATGTGAAGATTCGGTTTGCCCTGCAGTTGTTTTGGTTTAATGTGGTATTTGTTTTTAAAATTGATTGGTTGTCAAAGTCAGAACTCTTTCGATATTTGTAGTGTTCGTGCTGTAGGAGTATGAAGTACATTTGTCGCGTTTGGATAGGCATAAACAATAGACCCATGATTATATCAATTATTGATTAAGAGTTTATGTATTTATGAACTGAGGTCGCAAAGCTTAGCCAAAAAAAAAAAAAAACGCTGACCTATTTTCCGATCGAACTTTAAATTTCCTCTTACCAGTAACCATTTCTAAATCTTCATAAGCCTCACGAGTCATTTAAAAAACGATATCATATTATTTAGAAATCGATGTCATTGGACAGTAACAAGAAAACGAGCTCTTTTGGGATCGATTAGGTTTTCTGCGTTAAAAGTATTTTGCATATTTGTCAAATATGCTAATATGATAGCCTACTAAATTAAAGCAGAATGTAGAATGCTCTATATGTGCATGTGTTGCAATATGTTTAGAGATGCTATTCGGATTTTGTGTAACATTAATCTGTAATAGTCAAACATTGCCCGACTCGTTGCATGTCAGATGTTTTGCTGTTTGATTATGTTGTGTTCTTGGAAAATCATTTATTCAATTAGGGTTCAGACATATAGTGTTGAATATAAAAGGACCACACACACAGCTGGGCATATTCTGATGTGGTGACTCTAAATTTTCAATGCCCTCCTTCCCTCCCTCCACTCTCTCTCCCTCTCCCTCTCCCTCCTCTCTCTCTCTTTCTATCTGTGTCCCAGGCTGATAAGAACTGGCATCAGCAAGTTCAGGCTTTGATGATGTCATGGACACTATTTATCATCTAATTTTTCTCTCTTGCTACTTTTGTGTCTTTTCTATTCAAATCTTATTTTTTAGAATGTTTTTAGTGTGTTTATTTCTTGTTTTTTTCTGATTAACTTTACTGATTCACGCTTAATTGATGCCTCGATGTGAATCAGATGTCTCATATTACCCTGCAAAAACCGCACCAGACAGTGAAATAAAGTCGTCTGAGTTATAATTTCCACAACCCAGTGACTCCAAACAGACCTGTGTCTCATATATCCCAAACTTTTTGTTTGTTGGTGTCACCTGCCATGTCCTGTCACCATGTGGATCTGAGGTCTGCGAATGCAGGTGAGGTGTTAGTGTACCTCACTTGGTGTGTGGTCCCGAGTTTTCGTGCGTCAGCTCAGAGAGATTAGCGATTGACGCAGGCAGTTCTGCCACCATCAAGATGTGAGTAGTAGACTCTCTTGTCTGGACCTGCATTGGGCCCCTGTGATGACTTTAAAATGTGTTTGATATCTTTAATGAGGGGCACATGGGCCGGCTGTGGTACACTGTGTACCTAAACACCATAAGAGTGTAATCTGTTGCGTTTTCGGTTCCTCTGTGGTTACCGTATGAATGGCGCTGCTATATCTTTGAGATCTTGTACAGTATGCCTGTGAAGAGTTTTAGCAGATTAGGCTGCCAGACGTTATACTCGTAGTTGAATGCGCCGTCATCCACTTTTCTTACTGTAATAGATAATTAACTGATAACTTGTAATCTTGGGTAATAATTTATTAGATGAGTACACGAATGATGAAAGATATTTGAATATTTTTGAGGAGGTGGTTCATCACTTGCAGATGGAGTGTTTTCATTAAACATCACTTAATGAATTGAGCACCTGTATTTTGACTGTTTTAGTAATAACTGTCTGACTGACACCTGACTGGATTTGAAAGAATGGGGAAAGTCCCGAAAAAGTGAGCAGTGATGTCACCACGTGTCTTTTAGGCATGGTTTTATTGCTGACATGAAAGATGAATAGAACAACAGCATCTCTGTGGAGCCCACCCCAAACATTCGCACAGACTCGGATCCTGACCACTTCAAAACCAAGCCAAATATATGATGAGGCCCCAAAACAACACACATATTTGCATGTGGCCTCTCCAAATTTAGCCTCAAAGTAAAGCACTTCAATTGGCTCTTGTATTTGTCTGATTTAGCAATTTAGACTGATAAAAAATTCTGCGAGGCCCTTTGGTTTAAGTAGTTTTGAGGAAACCAAATACATTTTCAGATATATTATTTGGTCTAAATTTGACCAGAATTGTACAGAATTTCTTTTTTTTGTGAAAATTTGTAGCCTTTTAACATTTATAAAGACAGAGAATATAGTAAAGCACTTAAATTGACTTTTGTATTTTTATAATTTCACAGTTTAGACTGATAATAAATTCTGCAATCCCTTTTGAGTGTATTGAATAGGGACTTTTGAGAAAACAACATTTTCAGATATTATTTGGGTAACACTATTTTAAGGACTAATTCTCACTATTAACTAGCATGCATATTACTAGCATATTGGCTGTTTAGTACTTATAAAGCACTTATTACCGCCTTATTCAGCATGACCATGTTTTAGATCCCTTAATCTTACCCCATACCTAAACTTAAAAACTAACTATTAATAAGCAGTTATTGAGGCAAACATCATAGTTAATAGAATTGGACCATAAAATAAAGTGTTACCATTATATGCTCAATATTTGACAAAAGTGTTCAGAAAAAGATACAATTTGTGAATTGTGTACATTAATAGCCTTTTCATATTTGTAAAGGCTTGAAGAATGTTACATATGTTGCTTAAAGTCAATCTGTAGTGGTTGTCCGAATTATACAGGAAAAAAACTTTTGTTGTGAATTGTATACATTAGTAGCTTTTTATCTTTGTAAAGACATTAATACTATAATAAACCAGTTCAACTGACTCAATTTATACTGATAATAAATTCTGCAAGTACCTTTGAGTATCTTGAAATGCACTTTTGAGAAAACACAAAACATTTTCAGTTATATTATTTGGTCTAAATTTGACCGAATTGTAAAGAATTTTGTAAACTGTATACATTGATAGCCTTTTCATATTTGTAAAGATATGACGAATATTACGTATGCAGTATAAGGTCCATCTGTACAGTTTCCTTTCCTGTGTGTGACAGGAGATTCAGTCTGTTGCCTTGCTTTGGTTATTTAAAAAAGTAGCGGTGCTTGTCGCTGAAAAGAATAGGTTAGCAATTTCAGATCTGGTACTTGAGCACCTTTGTTCTACTACCAGATCAGCCCAGAGGCCGATAATCCCATACTATTTGAATTACCTGCTCTGGGAGGTGCTGCGATCTAAAATAAGAAGTGTTTTTTCTGGGTGTAGTTGTCTGCCATCTCAATGCGATCATTGTAGGCCAGCAATGGTGGCGTGAGGATAGCTCCTTTAAAGGGGACTCCGGTCCTCTGTGATAAATACTTGATGATGATGTATTTTTATTCTGTCTAAAGAGGGAATCGTTCACCGGCCCCCAATGTATTTTAGCTTGTGTATAAGATAAAGCTGTGTGTGCTTAAATATATATTTATAGATAAATATGTGCTTAAATAGATATTTTCTACTGGAATATGTAATATGAAGTGGCTATATAGGCCTAGTTAATGAAAGTGTTTTAAGCGAGAGCTTTTTATAGGTGTGTGTGTTGACCCCACTTTCCTTTGCTGATCGGTCTGCAGTCGGTTGCTGGAGATAAAGATGGCAGGAAGAATTCAATGGGAATGGGGGGGGCATGTGCCAGCACACACTCTCTCTCTCTCTCGCCGTCACCCTCTCTCAGACACTCATACACACGGTCATTACTTCACTGACTGCCCCCTTTTGCTGTGTCTGAGGGCTGAGGTTTCACAGGGGGGGCCGCTCCCCTCCCGCCCCACACAGGGAAGCCAGAACTCTGACGCCACCAGCATAATTAGCCGTCCATTTCAAATAGAGCCCGAGTTGGAGGAGGGGATGAGAGCGCTCGCCCCTCCCACCCCCTTCTCTCTTCCTCTCTTTTTCTCTCTTTCTTGCTTTCTTTCATTCGTACTTTATGGCGTGTTTGGTCTGCGTGCCCGTGCACTCTGGAAATTCTTCCAGTTTGAAGGAATTTAACGCCTCTGATTTGTTTTACGGCAGCTGAATTGAGAAAAAGAGCAAATTGCAAAAGAAAACTAAAGTTTATTGGTACCATAATGGTCTTTTTTGTGTTCAACTTTAAAGTCAAAAGGCATTTTTAAGTAAAAAAAAAATCAAGTAGACCCTTTTTTACTTTCTTGATGCATGTTTCTAGTTTAATTGTGAAATAATGTATCGGTGCATTTTATT